GCTCGGGGGCCCCATGAGTTGTCAGTCCACCCCTGCTAGAATGCCATTCCCACCATGCTTTAGGTGATGATTACAAGCCAAAATAAAAGCTCTCCTTTTATATGCCCAGATTAGGATGCAGCTCTCCTGGAAGATAACATTCCCAAGGTGATGCATAAATGAAAAAAAAACGGGGAATCGCAACAATTCTTTACAAAACACTATTCATTTATTAAATGATATTCAATAAATGAATTTAATGAAGTGGTTGTTTATTGCACAAGATTTGCTGTTCTTCCCTCTTTTTTTTTTTTCATTGGCAAAGAAAGAATGCAATAATAAGACATCCCGTTGGTAGATCCTAGTTTCCAGCCTACTTATGACCATAAATAACAATTAACTGCAATATAATGCATGAGCCTGATGAAAATGAGTTTAAAAACATATCATTTGATTTATGTAATGCTTGTTGACATTGCCACTTTAAATAAAGAATAAAAATAAAATAATATATATATATATTTTTTTTTAAATACCTGCCCTTGGGTAAAAAAATTAAACAATTCAAAAAGAAGTAAAGGGATTGTAAAGGTAAATTATTTTTTTTTAAATAACAAACATGTTACACTTACCCGCTTGCCTGCAATGATTTAGCACATAGCAGCCCCAATCCTCCTCTTCTTGGGTCCCTCGCTCCCCATTAAGGATTGGCACCTTTGGGGAGTGGGGGTGGAATGGGTACCCGAATTTGACAGGTACCCACGTCCGCTGCGATCACCTGGGCGATCGGAAATGGAAGTTGTCCTCCTAACCTCCTCCTTGCAGTCTTGTGGGACATGTGACAGGTCCCAGAAGACGACGGGGCCATTCAGGAAGCTCCTGGTCCCTCTCTCCCATGAGTGCTCCCATTGCAAGCTGCTTGCTCTGGGAGCACTCGTGCATGCTCACTCACGAGCAAGACACATAGACTGCTGCTCGGCCCCCAACCCTCCCCTGATCCCAGGTCACTAGCTGTGATTGACAGCAGTAGGAGTCAATTGGGCAGTCTTACAGTCACCAGAGTTTGACCACCCTGCCAACTGAGCTACATAGCCTAAAGCTGGCCCTACGCTGTAGGATTTGTCTCATCCATCCCAGCTGGGCTGAACAGGAGAAAACACTCCCCCCATCCAGTGGATGGATCCCTTCAGGCAGGTACTGTATTCTGACAGCTGAGTACCCAAACAGTGCCTGCACTTAATTGGATGCAGCCACTGTTCAGTGGACAATTTTCTGCCCAGCCCCTTCAAGTTTCAGATCGTTGGGCAGGAGAATGCTACTCCCTTGTCAGAGACACCCACTCAAGGACATCTGAGGTGTGTAGCCAGAAATCCTCTACGACAACACAGAGAATGGGAGGTTAATACAGGCAGGGTAAATGTATTTTCAGATAACTCCAAGTGGAAACTGGGATAAAAAATCACAACATATGGCAGCACCAGACTACAACAACAAAAAATGTGTGACACTTCAGCTGGGATTTGAATATGGTAAAAAATTTCCTCTTTTGTACTCATCACCTAAATCCTGGAGCAAGCATTCCCTGAAACAGTTTAGGTACATACTTTACTGTACAGGTGACCAGCACCGTTATTTTATTTATTTTGTATAAACTGAGAATCGGTGGGATTTCTTTTCAGCGTCTGCGGTTGGGCACAACCATGATATCAGCAGCACGGACACGGGCCCCCCTCTGGGTGTAGTGCTGCAGAAGTCTCTTCCATAGAGGACAACACCACAACAGATTAGAGTTTCCTGCGAAAAATAATTTTAAACATTTTTTTTTTAATGGCACAACACAGAATCATAGCTCTATGTGTTATATATATATATTGCACTGTTAAAGAGAACCGGTCACGAATGTGCTTATGCAACAATCCAAATAGTCAGTCCTGATTACAAGTGTGCGGGTTTATTTATGAAGGATTCACTTAGGATGTTACTTCAGGTTGGGAGTCAGGGTCAGAGGTCACCAGAAGTCAGACAGATGCTGCGCTTTTAACTGCCTGACCATGTAGAATCAAACATAGTGCTGCAGTTGTTTACGTTTTCCTTAAAGCCAAACTCCATGATTATAATGGATTCTACATAATTCCCGTTATATTGTAAAGCGCTGCGCAAACTCTTGGCGCTATATAAATCCTGTATAATAATAATAATTGAAATACGAGAGACATATACACTATGTGCTTACTTGAATATTGGGGTGCTTTGTATATTTATTCCAGATCATTGCAGTAACCCAGTGTGAAGGAGCTTCCTGTATTATAGACCAGTCACTGCTGCTCTCTCTCCTTGTGCAGGGGGAATGGTCTGATCTCCACCCCTCCTGTAGTTTTCTGCAGGCAGCCTGTAGTGGGTGGAGCCTCTCCCCCCACAGCTCAGCTCTCTGTATAGCACAGTGATGTCATTGCTAGTTTTACAAAATATAATCTGGATTTGCAAAAACATCTGGTGCACACAAAGTGGATTTACATTCATTGAGCAATATATTTAAATGACGGATTTTGTGCCTGGAGATCTACTTTAATGATAGGGGTTTGATATTTGAACCCTCATTAAAGCGGAGTTCCACTCACTCTGTAAAAAAAATAAAAGTCAGCAGCTACAAACACTGTAGCTGCTGACTTTTAAAAAACAGCCACTCACCTGTCCCACATTCCTGCGTTGCCCCCGCCGCAGCCCGTTTCACCGGCCGTCCTGTATTCCAGGAGGCCCGCACCTTCAGTGTGGGCACCCAGCTGTGACAGCTTGCGGCTTTACAGCCAGGTGCCCACTGCGCATGCGCATGCGCGAGTAGTGCTGCGCTTTCTGAATGGCCCCGTCGTATTCTGGGACCTGTTACATGTCCCACAAGACTACGGGGAGGGAGGGTAGGAGGACAACTTCCACTTCCAATCGCCTAGGCGATCGCAGCGGACGTGGGAGCGGGTACCTGTCAAATTCGGGTACCCGCTCCTCCCCCCTCGCTCCCCAAAGGTGCCAATCCTTAATAAGGAGCGGGGCACCAATCTTTAAAGCGGAACTTCCCCTTTTGGGTGGAACTCCGCACTCGCAGGAGCAGGGAGGCAGTATAACAGGCCAGGCAGATAATAAGGCGACAGCTGTCAAACTGGTAACCTCTGACTTTCTGAAAATGAATCCTTAGATAAAGTAAAGCCCAATACAGGGGCAATTATTATAAGCCAGCTTTATTATTTCAATTTTAGACTGAGTATTTCCATTCTGGGATGAGACCAGTTGTGAATAATTATTCCTAAATGGTGCTATATAGTGTACATGAATATCTAAATGTGTCACTACTCACCTAGTATACAGAGGCCCTCCTTGGCTCTGGTAAGTGCAACGTTAATCTGGTTTGGATCACCCAGAAATCCAAGATATTTCCGCTGCCAGCTGATGGTGGGACGACTGTCCAGTTCTTGAGCAGAAACAGAGCGCACGGTGGAAAAGATAACATATCGCCACTCGCTCCCTGCAGAAGTATATAAAGGGGTGAGGTATGTTAACAAAAGAGAAGAAAACCTATAACCCTTTTTAAAAGTGCCTAGAAAGCTTACCCTGTAGCTGATTTTATCTCAGTAGCAAGGGTGATAACTGCAATGTTTGACATACAGAAAGCTTAGTATGATACCGAGTACCTGCTCTGTATAAACGTATGGATGGATTGAGTGCCTCCCCCCACCACCACCTACAGGCGTATCTCGGTTTACGAACGCCTTGGTTAACATAATTTTCCGTTTACGAATAAAAATCCATTGAAAAAACGAATTTTTTTTGCAATACAAACGGATTAATTGATTTTTAATGCATTTACAAATTTTTTTTAATCATGTCCCTGTACAGTATTTATGTCTTTAAAGTGCACTTTACAAAGAGTTTTGAACAGATAGCCGTTTTTTTTTACTTTTTTCTGACCACAGGAACAGATTAATTGGTTTGCAATGCATTTACGAATTAATGTTTTATCATGTCCCCCCTGTACAGTATTTATACCTTTAAAGTGCACGGTATTAAGAGTTCTGACCTCCTGAATGGATTAATTGGTTTTTAATGCATTCTCGTGGGAAACCTCCTCTCAGTTTACGAATTTTTCGCAATACGAAAAGTCCCGCAGAACAAATTAAATTCGTAAACCGAGGTAAACCAGTATATATAAGTCATAGAGGACTGTGCATTGGATTGTTGAATGGTGGGAATGGGATTTAGCTGCAAGTCAGAAGAGAAGATCAAGGCTCTGAATAAAGCAAACACAGGGAATTAGGGTGTTCTTAGACGTTAAGGATGTTATTTAAAGTGTTACTAAACCCCGGACCCTGCATTCACTATATCTGGTCTCTCTGGACCCTGCATTCACTATATCCGGTCTCCCCAGACCCTGCATTCACTATATCCGGTCACCCCGGACCCTGCATTCACTATATCCGGTCTCCCCGGACCCTGCATTCACTATATCCGCTCTCCCCGGACCCTGCATTCACTATATCCAATCTCCCCGGACCCTGCATTCACTATATCCGCTCTCCCCGGCATTCACTCGGTCTCCCGGACCCTGCATTCACTATATCCGCTCTCCCCGGACCCCGCATTCACTATATCCGCTCTCCCCGGACCCCGCATTCACTATATCCGGTCTCCCCGGACCCCCAGACCCAGCATTCACTATATCCGGTCTCCCCGGTCTCCCCCCCGCATTCACTATATCCGGTCACCCCGGACCCTGCATTCACTATATCCGGTCTCCCCACCCTGCATTCACTATATCTGGTCTCCCCGGACCCTGCATTCACTATATATGGTCTCCCCAGACCCCGCATTCACTATATCTGGTCTCCCCGGACCCCGCATTCACTATATTTGGTCTCCCCAGACTCTGTATTCACTTTATCCACTTTTATAAAGAAAATGCACAGTAGTATACAATTACACGAACCTTGGCTCTTCATTATGGTGGACACGGTCACATTGCTCAGTCTCATCTCCTGCAGCCTTTTATTGATCTCTGACACTTGTGCATTGTATGCGGTCAGGATAGCGATGTCACTTTGTTCTACAGACTGAGAAACAAGTAAGGCAGCCAAACGAACCTGGCAAAAAAAAAAGGGTGCTCTGATCAGAGTGGGAACCGGCACGTTAGCAATGACCTGTCGATGTTCACTACCCCAACATTCTGGGGTGAAGATGCAGCAACACATTCTGCTTGGCTTTCCCTGTTCTTTGCCACAATTACTATTACGAACAATTACAGCTGTACATTTTTATTTCAAATAGCAACTGTGTATAATCAAATCTGTCATATTTTGAGAGGGCAATCGTATCGTTTGCATATCTCCTACCTTCTGTTTAAGGCCCCATGTACATGGGACACTTCTGAATGATGGAAACTGACTGCTGGAAAACGTAGGTTAAAAAAAACGTCTGTTTAGCCATGTTTGCATAATGCGTTTATGCGCGTTTATATTTAGAAGCGTTTTTTTTAAACAGGAGAACCTCCCAAATGCCCAGAATGCACCGAAAAGTGGTAAATTATTAACTATTTCAGACTGTTTCAGAGAAATACAGAGAGTAGAAGCAGAGACAGCAGTATGTGTTGAGATTAGCTGAGGTGTGAGTTGCTCATTACCATTTCTTTTGTTTCCAAGGGTGGGAAAGGTGTCTGGTGGAGGGAGTCATTAAGGCCGCCTGGCAGGGGGTCTTCATGAGGAATTTAAGGTGTGAATGGTCATTAACATATCTTTTGTTTCCAAGGGTTGGGAGAGGTCTGAGGTGTGAATGGTCATTAACATATCTTTTGTTTCCAAGGGTGGGAGAGGTCTGAGGAGTGAATGGTCATTAACATATCTTTTGTTTCCAAGGGTGGGAGAGGTCTGAGAAGTGAATGGTCATTAACATATCTTTTGTTTCCAAGGGTGGGAGAGGTCTGAGGTGTGAATAGTTCATTACAATCTGTCACAAGCTTGGTAGGAACATCTTGTGTTCAGTGTTTTGTCCATCTGAGCACCTTGAAAACACTTTGCATGCATTTTTCATGATGAAAAAAGGCTCTGGACAGCATTGGGAACTGGAAGAGTTAAAAAAAAATTTCAAATGCAAACGCTTATAAATGCGACTTGCCACCTTTACAAGCGTTTTGCATTTGAAACGCTGATAAAATCAACTGCTGAACGCAAGTTTGGTGCGTTCAAAAAAACGACTGTAAACTCAAACGCCTGCAAACGACTGTAAACGACGATGTGTACATGGACACATAGGAAAACATTAGGGAGAGTTCAGGGGCTGCTGAAAAAAATGCTGAACAGCTCCTAAACGTGAGTTTATCAGCTGCAGTGTACATGAGCCCTGAAGTCATTTTATTGGGTTATTTTGTGATGGGCAACTTTGAAGATCATTCAAGCCCAGTAGGCAAGAGGGGAGTGCACAAACTCGATCTATAGAGGAAATGTGGAATTTTGCATAGAATTTTTTGCTGCCCATATCTGCAGATCTACCGGCATGCATTCTTCACTAAAGGTAACCTCTGCTTATGTATTTGTTTTTCATCATACAGGGGCATTTGACAGGCGGCAAGGAGGAGATATTGCCTCTTCCCTGCCAGTGTCAACCCTGTAAATGCTGCACCACCACACTGCAACCAAGTTTGAATTGGCATCAGCCTCTTGCAATCCCTTGGACAGAAGACTTCAGAATGGGAGAGAAAGAAATAGCATAAGGAGCCAATCAGCTGTGCTGTAGTGCTCATGTGCTAACAACGAACATTAAAGTGTTACTAAACCCCAGATTCCGCATTAACTATATTTGGTCTCCCTGGACACTGCATTCACTATATCCGGTCTCCCCGGACCCCGCATTCACTATATTCGCTCTCCCCGGACCTGGCATTCACTATATCCGCTCTCCCCGGACCCTGCATTCACTATATCTGCTCTCCCCGGACCCTGCATTCACTATATCTGGTCTCCCTGGACCCTGCATTCACTATATCTGCTCTCCCTGGACTCTGCATTCACTATATCTGCTCTCCCTGGACCCTGCATTCACTATATCTGGTCTCCCTGGACCCTGCATTCACTATACCCGCTCTCCCCGGACCCTGCATTCACTATATCTGGTCTCCCTGGACCCTGCATTCACTATATCCGCTCTCCTCGGACCCTGCATTCACTATATCTGGTCTCCTCGGACCCTGCATTCACTATATCCGCTCTCCCGGACCCTGCATTCACTATATCTGGTCTCCTCGGACCCTGCATTCACTATATCCGCTCTCCCCGGACCCTGCATTCACTATATCTGGTCTCCCTGGACCCTGCATTCACTATATCCGGTCTCCCACAGTACACAGTACACAGAACAAGAAACTGCAATTATTTCAGTAAATATAAACGGCTAAATACCTTTTCTCATCAGCAGTATATAGCAGTCTTGTGACTTCTATCAGTGTCCAGCAGAGCACTAGTTAGAGCTTGTAGGAGGAGTTTTCTTTCTGCTTTAAGAGAATGCAAAACCCCTGACCTCTGTCTGGACAGTGCTGATTGGCCCTGTGCTGATCACATGCACTCTCCCAAGTAAAAAAAAAACTCTCTAGCAATACACACTAAACTGAGCATGTGCAGAATGGCTACAGTTAAGTCTGTCTTATCAGACACTGATAAGACGTGGACATTTGAACAAGAGGAGGAGCAGAGAAGTCAGGATCAAACGGCCTTTTTATACAATGCAGAGTATTAACCCCTTAGGTTCCACAGGGAGTATAACAAGCATGCGTATACAGACTGATTTTACTGTTGTGGGTTTAGTAACACTTTAACTGTTCACTTGGAGACTCAGAGGAACAAGACCTGTTACTTAACTGCACCAGAAAACTGCAGAGATTGTGCTGTGTATCAGAGCTGTGTAAATTTCAAAGGTGGATGGAAAGAAATACATATTGTTTGGCAAGTAAATAGTCCCCTCGTATTTATGTATCTGTGCATTAAGCTGTCTGGTCGCCATTTAGGACTACTGGTCGTTTCACTACGATAATGGAAAAAGGTAATAAGACATATAACAAGGCAACAAAGACAGGACAAAATAACAGATGAATGCATACTGCTTCCTTGGCCTCTTGGAGGTTCGCCTTTGAGCTAACGTTTCCTTCTTCAGTGGTGACCATCAGACTTTGCTCCTGCCCATTCACTTCTCCAAATACTATACGGTGGAACATTCGTGAAAAAAAGAGGCTTTTCCGCAGGTTAAGCTGAGGGCTGGTCAGGAGGCGATTATCATAAAATTCCTTAGATGGAAATGTGCAAATATCTAAATGCTGGAGATAAATAAAAAAAAACACACAAAACTGGGATTAGCTACAATGCACAGCGACCTTTCCAAGGGGTTTTCCTTAAATTTCCTCAACACCCCTCCCCCCCTCCAATAATTTGAAGGAGATAAAGATGTATTTTTTGTAGTCTAAATCAAAATAGCAGTCTAGGGTAACAACCATGACTCCCTCCAAAGATACAGTGCAATGAGTGAGAGTTGTCACCCTAGGACAGGAAGAGTGTTATTCTCAGGATTTTCGAAAAAAGTTTGTATAGCTACAATGTATTAGATTTTTGGTTTACATATGTCTTCAATAAATCAGATACATAATCACAATTTATTGTGTATCCAGTTCTGAATATTGTGGAGAGAAGCTAGAATGCCTGGTTTTTCACTATTTGTCCTGATGACCAGCGTTACCACTAAAAGCCACGGCAAATCCAAACCTGTCATTGGAAAAGGAGTTGTGTTAGGCTTAGTATAAGGAACGACACTTATGCTGCTGCTTGTCTGGAACACTTATTTTATTGTTGTTCTTTGAGCTTTGTAAAAAATTCAATAAATACTATTCAATTAAAAAATATAATAATTGCTGGAGCTGGTGGCACCCCTGGATTTCTATTTTGTGAATCAGTGGAAAGTTGTCCAGCAATTGTTATATTTTTCCTCTCCATTCCGGTCCCTTTTGCTCTTTTTGTGTGTTGAAACCCTTTATATACACTGTGAGTGTCGGGTCATGTGTGCTTAGTCCGGGTGTGCTCTCTCTCCACCTTTCATCACCTCTCTCTCTCTCCTCACCTTTCTCTCTCCTCCTTCCCCCTCTCACCCCCCCTCTCTCTCTCCACCTTTTGCCCCCCCCCTCCTCTCTCTCTCCACCTTTCTCTGCCCCCCTCCCCCCTCTCACCCCCCTTCTCTCCCCCCCCCCACCTTTCTCTCTCCTCCTTCCCCCCTCACCCCCCCTCTCTCTCCACCTTTCATACCCCCTCTCTCTCCCCACCTTTCTCTCTCTCTTCTCCTTCCCCCACTCCCCCCCCCCCCCCACCTCTCTCTCTCTCCCTCGCCATCTTCCCCCCCTCTCACCCCCCACCTTCCCCCCCCCTCTCTCTCTCTCTCACCACCTTTCCCTCTCTCTCTCCACCTTCCCCCCCCTCTCTCTCTCACCTCTCTCTCCCCACCTTTCCCTCTCTCTCTTGTCACCTTTCCCTCTCTCTCTCCACCTCTCTCTCTCTCTCCACCTTTCTGTCTCTCTCTCCACCTTCTCTCTCTCTCCCCCCCCCCCCCCTCTCTCTCACCTCTCTCTGCCCACATTTCCCTCTCTCTCTCTATCTCACACACACCTCTCTCTCTCTACCCCCCCTCCCCATCTTTCCCTCCCCTCTCCCTCTCTCCACCTTTACCCCCCTCTCTCTCCACCTTTCTCTCTCTTCTCCTAACCCCTCTCTCTCTCTCTCTCACTCACCTCTCTCTCTCACCTCCTTTTCTTCTCTCTCTCTCTCTCGCCACCTTTCCCCCCCTCTCTCTCTCGCCACCTCCCCCCCCCCCCCCCCCCCCCTCTCTCGCCACCTTTCCCTCTCTCTCTCCCACCTTTCCCGCTCTCTCTACCCACCTTCCCCCCCCCCCCTCTCTCTCTCTCTCTCTCTCTCCTCTCCTAGTGTGTCACAATTACTTTATCAGTTGGCCACCTCTAGTTACAGTTGGGCTCAAACGTTTTCATACCCTGACAGAAATTGTGAAGTTTTGGCATTTATACTGAAAATATGACTGATTATGCCAGAAAACTGTCTTTCATTTAAAGGAGAAGTACAGCCAAAGGTCTTTTGACTGTACTTCTCCTGTGGATCACAGGAGTGCAGTTCTTTCTCCACTCCTGTGACCTATTTTCAGCTGACAGAGGGCTGAAGCCTGCTGTTAGCTGACATCACTCAGCCGGTCCAGGCTGGGGAGAGATCCTGACTTCAAAGTCGGGATCCACCCCACAATCTAGAGTGGAACCTGGCTCAGCCTTTCAGCAAGCTGCTGAGAGCCTGAGCCAGCTGCTCTCTCCCCCTCCACAGCCCAGTGCTCCAGTGAGTGCTGGAGAGACAGAGCAGAGAGCGGTAACTGACAGTCACCGCTCTCTGGTCAGGGCAGCTGTGAGAACTCAGTCATGTGATTGCTGAGTTCTCACTCTTAGAGCCAGCAGGGGACTGATGCTGCATCCACCTAGGTAAGTATAACTGGGAAGAAAAAAGTCCACACTTTTAAGGATAATGATCATATGAAGCCATTTATTATTGCACAGTTGTTTTGCTCCTTTTTAAATCCTAATGATAACAGAAATCACCCAAATGGCCCTGATCATAAGTTTCTATCCCCTGGAATGTTTGGCCTTGGTACAGACACACAAGGTGACACACACGGGTTAAAATGGCAATTAAAGGTTAATGTCCCACATCTGTGGCTTTTTCATTTGCAATTAGTGTCAGTGTATAGTCAATGAGTTTGTTAGCTCTTATGTGGATGCACCGAGCAGAAGAAGACTGTGAAAAACCCTGCGTAACAAGGTAATGGAACTTTATAAAAGTTGGAAATAGATATAAATAGATATCCAAAGCCTAAATATGCCAGTCAGTACGGTTCAATCACTTATCAAGAAGTGGAAAATTCAGGGATCTTGTGATACCAAGCCAAGGTCAAGTAGACCAAAAAAGATTGCAGCCACAACTGCCAGAAGAATTGCTCAATACAAAGAAAAAACCAGAGATAACCCCAGGAGAAATACAGGCTGCCCTGGAAAAAAGGTGGTTTTTTTTTTTTTCAAGGAGCAAAATACGACGATACTTGAACAAAGATGAGCTGCATGGTTGAGTTGCCTTTACTGCGCCAATTACAAAAAAAGCCCATTTACAATATGCCCAACAACACCTCGACACGCGTCACAGTTTCTGGCACACTGTAATCTGGAGTGATGAGACCAAAATAGAGCTTTATGGTCCAAACCATAACTGCTGTGTTTAGAAAGGGGTCAACAGTGAAAATACCATCCCCACTGTGAAGCATAGTGGTGGCTCACTGATGTTTCGGCTATATGTGAGCTCTAAAGGCACAGGGAATCTTGTGAAATTTGATGGCAAGATGAATACAGCATGTTGTCAGAAAATACTGGCAGACAATTTGCATTCTTCTGCATGAAAGCTACACATGGGACACTCTTGGACTTTCCAGCACGACAGCGGTCCTAGGCACAAGGCCAAGTTGACGCTCTAGTGGTCACAGCAGAAAAAGATGAAGGTTCTGGAGTGGTCATCACAGTCTCCTAACCTTAACCCCTTCACGCTGGCCCTTTAAGAGTTTCAGAAGCCGGGAGGCGGGACTGGGGGTGGGGTTTAAGGTCATGTGACCGCCGTGACGTGTCGTCACACAATCGGGAAAAAGTCCCGATCGAAAGAAAAGATCGGGACCTTTCCGTGAATACCGGACATGTGTGCTGGGAGTGCGCAGGCACGCGCTCTCAGCACATATGTCCTTTTTTAATAGAACGCAAATGTGCGCCCGCGCTCAGCGTCTAGGCCCAGACGCCGGGAGGCCACACATTTTGCGTTCGTCCGACGTGAAGAGGTTAATATCATCGGGCCACTCTGGCAGGATCTCAAACGTATGGTTCATGCAAGACCACCAAAGACTTTGAATGACCTGAGGCATTACGCCAAGACGAATGGGCAGCTGTACCACCTGGAAAAATTTGTGGCCTCATAGACAACTATTACAAAAAAAACGCACGCTGTCATCAATGCTAAAGGGGGCAATGCACAGTATTAGGAACTAAGGGGGTGCAGATTTTTGAACAGGGGGCATTTCATTGGTTTACTTTGTTTTATGATTGTGCCATACTGTTATAGCTGAAAATGAAAACCATAAGAAATAAAAGAAATGTGTTTGGCCTGCTGATTCATGTTTTCTTGGTGTACACTGTTACGAATTCTCCAAGGGTACTCAAACATTTGAGCACAACTGTATGTGTGTAAAGCCAGCCACAGATGAGTAATAAACTGAACAAAATTAGTGTAGATCGTCAAATTGTTCATTTTTCGCATCATTAGTGTGCCAGCTGCGACACACTATTTTCTTGTCGCAATCAAAAGTGCCTGGTCCAACATGCTGGTTTTCAGAAAAATTAAACAAATGATGACGTGTGAGCTATTTAAATTTTTTGATCAACAGAAAGATCGATTTTAGACTCATCTATGGCCGGCTTAAGAAGAACCCTATAGTTTTCTGCACACCCTACCCCCTTTGTTATGTACATAAGATACAGACATGCTTCTTACCATACGATACTGAGTGTCCAGAAACAACGCCCTTTCCTCATACCTCTCGAAGAGCGAACGATCTGTTTTAAGAAGTTTACAAACTTCATTCTTTACTACAGGGCGAAGCTGACGATGGTCTCCGATCAGCACAATCTGGGACAAAAACCAAGATATTAAAAAATAAACTTTCACTGTTTTAGAAGGACTGAAAAGTTTTCGGCTTTTTTTCACCTGGTGATCCTGCCACTATAAACACTTAAGCTGGCTACACATTATACATTTTTTTTATTACAATTTCTGGTAGATTTACCAAAACCATATAATATAGGGTCAAACATAAACACTTTCATTGTATGCAGTCAGGCAGGCCCTTGCACTACATTCAGTGAGTATAGAAAAGAATCACCCCCTTTAAAATAATTACATTTTGTTGTTTTGCAGCCTGAAATGAAGACAGACACAGTTGTTGTTTTATCCAGCTGTATTTACTCCGTGCAACTTATAACATCCAACTGACAGATATAACGCCATGTCAGAAAAAAAAAAAAAAAAACCTTTCACTAGCTGTTTTGTCCCCCCATGCTTCTCTTAAATACTAACTTTAATCCTACATCGATCCAGCGCTGTGTCGTTCAGCACTGGTCTCTCTCCCTGCTCTCACAGGACAGATTGGTAGAGTAAGGAGGGGGGGGCAGTGACTTACACAGCCCTGCTCAGGAGTGTGCTCGCATGTGTGCCTTGATAGCAAACAGCTTGCTATGGGGGCACACACGGCAGAGGAGGAGTGGATTGCACTGGCAGGGGACCCTAGCAGAGGAGGTAAGCTCCTGCTTTGTACAATTTGGGGCAGCACACTGGCTAAACGGTTAGCACTTCCACCTGGCAGTACTAGGGTTGTTGGTATGAATCCCAGCCACGGCACCACCTGCCTGGAGCCTGCACATTCTCCCTGTGCCTGTGTGGGTTTCCTCCAGTTTTCTCCAACATGCTGGTAGGTTCATTGGATCCTGTCCAAAGTGGCCCTAGTATATGAATGTAAGTTAGGGATTGTACGCCCCTTGAAGGTTAGGGACCTTAGATTGTACGCCCCTTGAGGGTTAGGGACCTTAGATTGTACGCCCCTTGAGGGTTAGGGACTGATGTGAATGTACAATATATATGTAAAGCACTTCGTAAATTGATGGCGCTATATAAGTACCTGTAATAAATAAATAATATCGTTGCACAGAGCAGGTAATCATAAACCTCTTCCTTCATATTAGATAAATAAGAGACTTTAATATCATTTTAATGTCTGCAGCATAATTCAACCTCTATGTACATCATCAGTGTGGGAAACTCCTCTTTCACCTGTTTTCTATCTCAGTCCTGCTGATCTCTTGCAGCCTCTTCCAGCTACTTCATGTCTTCACTTCACCGGCTGCTGCATGTAGTTAACAATGGCAGAACATGTCTGCACAATGAACGTCGGCAAGGCTGCTTATAGCCTCTACTGAAAGCATATGACAGTATGGCTTTTCCACTTACCGACTGTACACTTTTGTGGCTGACAAGTGGCACAAGAGACTCCGGCTCAGTGCACATCCCGCACTCATCAATGATCACCTGCGTGATAGGCAGCTCTGTCAGCATATTACTGGAAGATGCCACGCATGTACACAAGATGATGTCATGCTGTTTCAGCTCCTCTTTGCGGGCAGCGGCTATCAGGGCCTTGTACCTGAAGTAGAAAGAACAAGACACAAATTGACATCTTCAAAAAGACGATGTAAGAAAAGGTGAGATACAGAGTTAGCCTAGGTTCACACTTGCCCGCAGTCTGCAGGCTGGTTACGGGTGAAGGAATCGAGGGTGTTCCTACACCCGCAAACCAAATCGAACTGCTCTTACAAGACGCACAAGGCTGCCATTCATTGTGAATAGCACTCCCACGCATCTCAACTTGCAGAGCGTTTGCGGGGTGAGGGAACCGCAAGGAAATCGCATGGTCAAAAAGGCCATGTGGTTTCCCTGCGGACATGTTTTCAAAAAGGGGCATGCACCTCTTTTCTGTGGGAAATGCAGGCTCAGCAGCAAATTCAAATCAATGGGCTGCCGTGCCCGTTCACAACACGTCCGCTCAGCCCGCAATAGTGTGAATCCCAGCATGTCAAACAGTGAAATTTGGTTTACTGATTGGTTGCAGGCTTTACTTCTACACATAACCTTCTGCACTACATGGTAGATATACCCAAAACAAATATTTTGGTTTTTGATTATCATTGCAGGGCTGAATCCACTGACAGTTGATATTTTTACAGAATCCTGTAGGGAAATTACCCTGTTGACACTTATATCTTTGGCCCCTCCCACAAGGGTATAATGATGATTCGGTGCTGGATTAATTGTACCTTAAGTGCTAGGTTGCTTCCAGTCCATGAAGTGCAGAAACTTTTTTTTTTTCTGCACCCTCATGGGCCTCACTAGAACCTGAGACCCAAGGCAGGTGTCCGTTTTGCAACCTGGCATGATCCAAGCAAGAAAATAGCAGACTTTTACTTTTTTTTTCTGTTCTTCTGAAATTTTGCAACTACATCCATACTGTTACCTGTACCATTTGCCATTTAAGATTTCAAGCACAATTCATAATTTGTACAATTCTCTGTAAAATGGACGATGCGGCATGCACAGATGGAGGTGAATGAAAAAAAAATCTAAATATGTTTATCACCAATAAAGACATTGGGGGGGGGGGAAATACTAAAACTGGAGAGTGCAAAATCTGGTGCAGTCCTGCATAGAAACCAATCAGCTTCAGTTTCTTTGTTTCTTTGTTTTTTTTTATCAAAGCTTAATTGACAATCTGAAGTTTTTATTTTATTTTTTATTTATATCAGGTACTTATATAGCGCTGTCAATTTACACAGCACTTTACATGTGTGTGTATATGTATATACACACACATACATATATATATATATATATATATATATATATATATATATATTGTACATTACAAAAGTATTGTACATTCACAAAAGTCCCTAACCCTCAAGGGGCGTACAATCTAAGGTCCCTAACTCACATTCATACATATCTGTACTAGGGCCAATTTAGACAGGACCAATGAACCTACCAGCATGTCTTTGGAGTGTTGGAGGAATCTGGAGTACCCGGAGGAAACCTGCGCAGGCACACGGAGAACATGGAAACTCCAGGCAGGTGCTGCCATGGTTGGAATTCGAACCAACAACCCGAGTACTGCCAGGCAGAAGTGCTAACCATTTAGGCACTGTGCTGATTGGCTACCATGCACAGCTGCACCAGATTTAGTAAATCAACCCCATTGTTTAATTACAGTTGGGAGCCCCTAATATTTATTTTTTTACAATATGTTAATGGAAGATGGCAACATTGGTTTGCTCTGCAATAGCCACAATATCTTAAGAGAGGTGAGTGGAAAGGAAGTAAGACAGAGCAAGAGAAAAACACAAAATACACAGTGAAAGGCGACGTATGAGACACATATAACCGCTCCTGTTTTTCCTTACGCATCTATGTCCTCTTGGTTATCTCTTCTCCATTGCGGATTCTCTGATCCATTTCCCGAATTTTTTTGCTAAAGGGGCTTGGGGGCTGCCGGATCAGGTGATGCAGGGCAATAGGTCTAAAGGAAACAGAGGAACCATCTGTCAGTATGCAGAACAGAATCGTGCAAAGTATTACATTCTACAACATTCAACCAAGTCTGAAAAGTTTGGAAAATCCTGTCTTGCACAATTCTATTCTATTTTCAAGTTTCTGTTAATAGTTTCAAAAACAGGTGGGAACTTTACTATACATACGTGTGAATGGTATGACTAGCTCTTTTACATTTTGACAAATTGCACTGTAATGGTAGGATTGGTGGACCATTAAAAAAGTATCACGACAGGCCGAATTCACAAATCCAATGTGGTTTTATCAGTGTCAGTAGAAAAGACAAAAATTAAAATGAAAAGGCAGTATTTACGTGCTGGTTCACACTGATTTATTTATTTCAGGTACTTATATAGCACCATCAATTTACACAGCGCTTTACATATAATATTGTACATTCACATCAGTCCATAACCCTCAAGGGGTGTACAATCTAAGGTCCCTAACCCTCAAGGGGCGTACAATCTAAGGTCCCTAACACACATATACTAGGGCCAATTTAGACAGGAGCCAATTAACCTACCAGCATGTCTTTGGAGTGTGGGAGGAAACCAGAGTACCCGGAGAAAACCCACGGAGGCACAGGGAGAACATGCAAACTCCAGGCAGGTGGTGCTGTGGTTGTGATTTGAACCGGAGACCCTAGTACTGCCAGGCGGAAGTGCTAACCATTTAGCCACTGTGCTGATGCGGTGCAGAAAACCACAGGTGATTCAGACAGGAATCGCACCCTATTCCTATTCAAATCACATGAGAATCTTTGCATTTTAATGTAAACCCATTTATTTTGTATGGCTCATATAGCACTGCACCCACACGAAAAAAGGTGCATACACCTTTTTTTTTTTTTTGCCACACTGGAATTGGATCGCATGGGTTCTCACACCCATGCCATATGATTTAGCCAATCGCACTGTGCTTTGAGACCTGTTTTTGGGGTGTTGTTAACTTAAATGATAAGTTCACTTTTTTAAAAAAAAAAAATAATAAATGCTCATTTTTTTGCAGGTAAAAAAATGTGCATTTACTAATTTTTTTTGGAGCCTGAAAAGCGCAATGCACGACCGACTCCTGCAAACTGTCAGTGTCTGTGTGCCCATACAGGCAAGCAGATACAGTCTGACAGGATGACTCAGCCTTTGCGGCTGTCAGGACTTGTAGTTCATTCATTCACAGAACTCTGTGAATGATGCAGCCGTGTGGGCAGAGCCCGGCATGGCCATGTTTTTTTCGAAAGGTGACAGCTAGTGCGGGGAACTTCTCTCTGTACTGCTGTCACAGGGTAGGGTGGGGGGAGGATCAGGCAGCGGTGGAAACGTGTTACATGTTCCACCCTACAAATGGGTATGGGTAAAAACATGTAACATGTTTCCAAAGGTGAACTTATCCTTTAACACTGATGCCAGCAGCAGTTCGCATGAATGGAGTGCGGTAAACTCACAGGAATCGCTGCGAATCCAGCACCCAGTGGTGTATGTAGGTTTTGTGCTGCCTTAGGCAACACAAAAATCGGACGCCCCCCCCTTCCCCACAGAGAGAGCCTGGACACCAACCAACCAACACCAACCCCCCCACCCAAGAGAGCCGTCCACTACCACCACCCTCCATACACCAGCCACCCCAACCCCCCATCCCACCTCCCAACAAGAGAGAGAAATACACTCACCTTCACAGCTCCAGACATCCCCTGGAATAACAGTCAAGCTCTGCATACACCGTCAAGGAGCCCGCAGCCTCTCTTGAATCCCACCCAGTCCCCATGCCGCATGTGTCCCTTCTTCTGTCTGTTCTTCCAGGGGGCAGTGCTGCCCCCCTGAAAAATGCCACCCTAGGCAAATGCCTTGCTTGCCTTGTGGTAAATACACCCCTGCCTGCATCGCATCATTGTGAACCAGGACTAAAATCCCTGGCAGAGACATTAAATATTCTTTTAACGGCCTGCTTTTCCTTGCCTGTAATAATCTTTCCAGAAGAGAACTGCTTGCGGTCACAACACAGAACAAACAAGCATCATGCAATATGATCCCAAACCAGACCACTGCGGTGCTCTGTGTGATGCACTTCTCTATAGAATAGGATAGCCTTTGTAGAATAACCACCACAGCCTCTCATTTCTCTCCTTGTGATTGATTTGCAGTACACCTTTGATGGTGGTAAGGCTAAAATCCTTACTATCACTGGCGACTTGACTGTGTCCCCAGACCTCTTACCTCAATGTTTCATTGGGCTTCCCTTCTCGGAGATATCCGGTATTTTTGAGATTGCTTCCAGGATAGGGAAACTCACTCAGCTCCATCTGTTCACTATACACGCGCAGTGGGCGGAGCTTGTCACATAGAGGGAGCAGCATTTCTGAAAAAAGGAAAAGCAGAGTAATTGATGTAAAAGGCGATGCCAAAGGTGGTGATTAGTATATTTACACAAATTCCTGTACAGAGGTACACAGAGGTTGGAGCACCTCTGACATACTGTATCTGGCAGTCCAAAGACCCAAACCTCAAATTCTGTATTAGATAATAATAGCTTCCTCTATAAATTCCTTGGGGGGAAAACACGCAAAAACCATATTAGGAGTATAAAAGAAGAGTCTCTATGTAAATTTTAACATAGGAACTCTCCAAAGTCATGCCTTACCAGATGAAATGACCTTCTAGACCATCATTATGGGGCTTACCGCTTACAACATCCACCGACTTGTTTGATGGACCACAGTACATGAGGATTCGCCGGCCATTCACCTCTTCCTCCTCCACTTCACTTTCCATGGCTAACTCTGTCAATTGGTTTATGTGATGGAACCAGTAGGCCAGATGAACCCCGACCACAGTTTTTCCAGTGCCTGATGAGAGAAAATGGCCATCAGCTGAGTAATGGGAATGGTCCTGTTCCCCATGGGGCAAAACTGGGGCCTTGCTAACAGGAATCTACAGCCTTGCGTGCTTGAACTGTTTATATTCTTTGCTGTTCTTCCTTCAGAAGTTTCTTAAATATAACCCCAG